ACCAATCTGATCACCAAAACTCTTCACCCAACGGCCGTTCGGAGATTTCGGGATTTCTAGTGGTTCGCCGCAATTCTGGTCGGCGAACTCTGGTTGGCAGCAAAAGGAGTTTAGTTTGAGCGCATTCAATTCCATATACTGGTTCTTTCTTTATTTTCCTTCTTTCTTTATTTTCCCCCCTTAATTGGTTTCGTAATTGTAGCAACAAAGTTAAGTCTTTATTTTCATTTGTTAGTTACAGACTGTTTAAGTGATAATGCTAATTACCATGTGTTCATTACCATGCTTAATGCTAGGTATTTTACTAATTATAATGCTAAAGGTTTAAGTACGGTTATTAATTGAGATTACCATTGATAATGATGCTGGTAGAGTTAACTATTAGTTTTTTATGCCAAATTTCTAAGCTTTACTACATTTGCTATCACAGTGCGCAACTCTGACCTGGTTTTCTTCTTATTAATCACAAATACTCTTTTCTTGTTTTAATTTATTTATTTTGCATTTAGTTTATATGCTTTTGTTTAATCAATCTGCCATTCTATAAGCATAATCGAATTGCCTTTGTACTCCATTAAGAATTTCAATTAGTTTTAGATAATTCTTGGCAGCAACACTAATCTGGTTCCTTATCTTTTGTCATTAAATTAAGTTGCTATCTGTTCTGCACTCGTAATTAGTACTTTCCATTTTAACTCAAGCTTTGTTTAATCGTCAGTAGCAATTTCTTGTTCATTCCGATTAGCTTTTTAATTACTCAATTCTAAGCTTTTTGAAGCATTGATTTTAATTGTTTTGCAATTGAATTGATTCTTATACTTGATATTCGTTTCTAGCACGTTAAAATTAAGTTAATTAACTTTAAGATTATAAATTGCATATTATCAATTCCTCTTGGGTTCGACCCTTGCTATTTGCACCCTATTACTACAGTGACTCGTGCACTTGCGAGGACATTTATATTTAAATTGTTCATCAATTACCTGCCAACTCCTCCTCCACCAAACCCTCAGATTCTGGCTGCGAACGCCCCATCACGAAGACCCTCCCTGGTGGCCTAGCTCCAACTGCTCCACGACCCGAACTACCTCCCTGAGCTCCTCCGACTCTCGGGGGTGGTGGCAACGCTCTCTGACCAGCTTGCTGGGGACACTCCGCGACCTTGTGATCACGATCTCCATAACGAAAATATTGCAACGCGAAGCCGCTGCAGTTCTGGCCAGCATGCTCCTTCCCACATCTTGGGCACGGAAAAAACTTAGCTTGATCCCTTAGCTCCATCCGATTAGGTCCTTGAGATGAGGATGACACGTTCTTGGCTTGAAAACCCGGTCGTGGCTTCTTGAAGGTAGAAGGACCTCCGCTCTCCACCCTCTTCCTGGCTAGCTCGTAAGATCCTTTCTGAAGCTGCTGAACACGATACAGATCCGCGGCACTCAGATACGCATCCTTAAGGGAACTTGGCCTACTCACCGTCAACGCTTTTCGTGCCTCATAGTTCAGACCAGCAACGAATCTCTCAACCATAGCAAGCTCCGTAGGCACAAGCACCCGAGCAAAGCGCGCCAACTCCAAAAACTTCTTGTGGTACTCGACCACAGACAGGGATCCTTGCTGCAGGTGAAGGAACTCATCAAACATGGCGGCTCGCACATGCGCTGGGTAAAACCTTTTCGCGCATCCTGTCCTTAAGCGCGGACCAGTCGAACTCGGGTTCTTCAAGGAAGGCCGGACCCTCATGGACCCACCATAGATCCGCCTCATGGCAAAAGTAGAACGTTACCAGTTCCACTCTTCTCTCTTCGGGGCAGCCCACAACTGTGAAGATCTTGTCGAACACCCTTAACCATTCCTCCAAGACCACCGGGTCTTCTTCACCCGCAAAGGTGGGCGGTCTATGTCCCGACACCAAGCGACCTATATCACGGTGCCAAGCAAGTTGAGGAGGCGACACAACGTGGTTGTTGTTCAGCAAGGCTTCACTGAGCATCTGCATTGTTTGCGTCAACTGGTGAAGATTCTGAGCGAGCTGCTCGTTTGTTGGGGTCTCCGGGATGCGAGCTCGGGGACGAGGAGGAATCGCAAACTTCTACAACAACAACACGGTTACCAAAAGATAGCAAGCAAGCAAAGAACAGAAAACAACACTCAGCTCACCGCGCAACCTAGAGTCCTAAGCCTAACACTTAGATTCTTAAGGTCGCTTAAAGGTCTCAAACCACACTTAGCCACTTAGTAAGTGTAGACTTAACTCCTTCCTAGGTTCAAACCTAGGCTCTGATACCAACTGTAACACCCCCTAAAAACAAGCTATATGAAACCTTAAACAAGCAGATAACACAACTAAACAACAAACACAATGGAAGACTAAAAGATAACTGGATAAGCATAAATCCAAGTCATGGGGTGTTATGCCACGTTCACCAACAAGGATGAACGCTACGGCAATATCTGCATTGTTTACAACTAATCCATAGTCTCAAAAATTTACAACTAAACTGGCACACAGGCCACAAAACAAGCGGGAGAAGCTACACTAGCAAGCACTAGACTTCGCACTCGTCTAGACATCACCTGAAAGAACACAATAAAACATGGGACGACGCCCGGTCAGCGAATAATGCTGGTAACCCACCAATACATGTGAAATAACATACATAGATAAGATATAAGTTGTAAAGCCATTTTCGAAACGGAATGCATAAGTATATAAGTACAAAACCAAGAGCAATAGTCAACACAAGACTCAACACTCTCAACAAGGATACGGGAACACATCCCAAACCACAAAGGATACCACAACACAAGGATAAAGACAAGACTGATGGCAACACATGCCCTTGTGACTACACACGTCACAAGAAGAGAACTCACCACACCTCTACCGCGGTTCCGCCCGCGGGTACAGGCTCCTTCACACCGTGTACCCCGCGGGTGGGCAGCGGGTTGGACCTCTACCCGTCGTTCCGCCAGCGGGTACACCCCTGTACCACAATAATACACTTCGCGGATTTTCTTCTCCAAACTCAAATTCAAGTCCAAAACATGCCAAATCTCACCAAATACAACAAAATGACTTGAATAAAAGGAAATGCCAAGCAATGGCACACAAGAACCCTAAACACAAGCTCTAGATATGCATTTTCACAAGATCATGCATCAACACTCACATTTCATAGCAAAACACATGTAGAATCCAAGAAATCACATATAGGTAAGCAAAATAGATTTTGTAGAGCATGGGTTACCTCTTGTAGACTAAAGACTTCACTTTACACCTCAACAAGCTCCTCACTAGGCTCACCTTCCAAACCCACTTCAAGATCAAACCAAAAGATCATAAAGATCCTAACTTTAAGAAAAGGTACCTTAGATAGAACCAAAAACACAAGATAAACTTAGATCTTACCCTCTTAGATGCCCAAATATAAGAAAGGTTGAATCTTGGAAGCAACTCTTGAAGTTTTGGCAAGGTTCCAACTTGGCTTGGAAGAAAAGCTACTCACCTTTTAGAGAGGGGGTGGAGCTAGATTTTTAGAAAAGTGTAAGGATAGAAGGAAGGTGGTCTACTAGGTTAGGTTACATTACCAACAACAAGTGAAAGGTCAAGAATGCCCTTACTAACATAAGGAAGTGTAAGGAACAAGGGAATTCCTTACAAAGCTCAATGTACAACTTTGACTCTGGGGTTGACTAGTCAATTACTAGTCCCCAACTATTAAATTTCAGGAATTTAAGGAATTAAATTACAAATTGAAATAGGGTTAATTACCCAATTAATCCCTTAATTGAATTTGGATTTCGTGGTGTCACATAGGGAATATTTAGGAAAGTGGCTTAAACAAAAGCTTTCAAACTAGATGAGCAAATAAATACAAATAATCCAACCCCCTCAATTTCCATTCAAAAACACATCCTATTGAGGCTCTAACATGACTATCATTCTCAAAAGTATAGAATTCTTCCTCAGTATTACCAGAATTTCACTTTGCTTCATTTATTTAGAAGTAACTTTAGACTCAGAACAAACTGCTGATTCTTTCTCATTTTTCTCAGAATTTTCTGCAACATTTTTCTTTTTCAAACATATGTTATTCATTTTTCCATTTCATTTGTGCAACTTTTCTCTCTTTTTTTTTTATTTATTTTTTTATTTATTTTTTATTTTTTTTGGGAAACATGAATTGCCTTCATTTTCTTTTTCGTAGAAGACAAAAAACAAATTGACAATGAAGATACAACCCACCTCACTCTCAATCACATTAACAAAACAAATGGTCTCCCCCACACTTATTCTTCACAAACTCACGTAGATCACAAGAATAATTCAAAATTTGCTCCACTAGTTATTCAGCTGGGTCAAGGTATTATTTTTAGATATAAAAGGCTTGTAATGTGGTTCAAAATAAAGAAAAGAATGGCCATAAACCTCAAAGTGGTTAGCAAAGGAGAATAAATCATAGGACAAACCGGTTGTTTGGCTAGTGAGGCTCAAAATCAAATAGTGGCCTTAATCACACTTGAATCATGCATGGTCTAATTAGCTTTAAAAGAGAATCAATGCAAGTTCTAGATAGACAAAATTATGGAAGAAATCACACAATAGGAAGAAAATAAGACTGAAGTGTCAGTCAATGACTCAAAACACTCACAGGTTTATTGCTTACTTCATATAGCCACTACATATCAAACAGGAAATGCTAACAAACTAATCATAATTTGCCAAACTATTAATTCAATCATGTTATGAACTCCAAGAAAGGAAAAATAGAATAATTTTTCAAAATAATACTTATTTTGCATAAAATACTAGTAAAATATTTGTGAAAATTTTGACATAAGCAAACAAATAATAAGCAACCAAAAAATAAATCCCCTCCCCCACACTTATTATCAACATTGTCCCCAATGTTTAATAAAAACACAGAAAAATGTTATTAAATGTAACATAAAGATTAAGAAAAAGAGAATAGAACAAACTCCCCTTCTAGTTGTTCATATTATTCAAAATAGCTGGGATCTTCAAGAAGTATGTCAACAATATATTCAACTTGAGCCCCTTCATGGTAAGGTTTAAGTTGATGTCCATTAACCTTGAATATCTTTGAAGTCTGTAAACTTTGAATCTCTATTGGCCATGAGGAAAAATATTAGTGATAATAAATGGACCAACCCAACGAGAACGTAACTTACCTGGGAATAGCCGAAGACGTGATTGGAAGAGTAGGACTTTTTTTCCAATTGAAAATTCCTTTCTCAAAAGCATTTTGTCATGGAATGCTTTTGTCTTTTCTTTGTAGATTCTTGAATTCTCGTAGGCCTCATTGCGAATCTCCTCAAACTCAGAAAGTTGCAGTTTTTGGTGTAGACCACTTTCATCAATGTTCATATTAAAGCTCTTGACAGCCCAATAGGCTTTGTGCTCCAACTGAACAGGAAGGTGACAAGCTTTCCCAAACACAATGCGATAAGGGGACATACGAATAGGTGTTTTGTATGCGGTTCTATACGCCCACAATGCATCATCTAATCGCAAACTCCAATCCTTCCTGTTTGGATTGACTATTTTCTGAAGGATTGACTTTACCTCTCGGTTGGACACCTCTGCTTGCCCATTAGTTTACGGGTGGTAGGCAGTTGGCACCTTATGGGTGACATGGTACTTCTTAAGCAATGTTTCGATGGTGCGATTACAAAAGTGAGTACCCTGATCACTTATTATAGCTCTTGGAATGCCAAACCTGGAAAAGATGTTAGATTTGATAAAATCTGCAACAACTTTAGAGTTATCAGTCCTGATGGCTTTAGCTTCCACCCACTTCGAAACGTAATCAACAGAAAGTAAAATATAGACAAAACCAAAAGATACAGGAAATGAGCCCATAAAATCAATGCCCCAAACATCAAAAACCTCACAAAATAGGACCGGAGTTTGTGGCATTTCATTTCTCCGGGATAAATTAACTGACTTTTGGCAAGCATCACAACACTTGCAAAATGAGTAAGAATCTTTAAATAAAGTTGGCCAATAAAACCCAGACTCCAACACTTTCCTTGCTGTTCTTTTAGCACCAAAGTGGCCGCCACAAGCATAAGACTGACAAAAGACAAGGATTGAGGCAATTTCGCCATCAGGTACGCACAGCCTTACCACTTGGTCAGCACAATGTTTCCAGAGGTACGGTTCATCCCATACATAGTACTTGGCATTACTCTTGATTTTATCTTTTTGTGCCTTAGAGGAATCAAGAGGTAACTTGTTAGCAACCAAAAAGTTGACTATGTTAGCATACCAAGGTAACACCATAGTTGCAACCAATAAGTGCTCATCAGGGAATGCATCTCGCAGTGGAGGTTCGGGTTCAATGTGTACCAACCGACTCAAATGATTGGCCATAAGATTTTCTAACCCCTTCTTATCTTTGATCTCCACATCAAACTCATTTAAGAGGAGTATCCATCTTATCAATCTCGGTTTGGCTTCCTGCTTTTTCATTAAGTAGCGAAGAACTGCATGGTCAGAATAAACTATAACTTTGGTGCCCAGCAAATAAAACAATGGCTAAAAGTTCTTTTTTCTGTAGTAGAATAGTTCATCTGAGCATCATTTAAAGTCCTAGAAGCATAATAGATAACATGGGATAATTTCCCGATCTTTTGGCCCAACACAGCCCCTACTGCGTGATCACTTGCATCACACATAATCTCAAATGGGTAGTTCCAGTTAGGTGGTTGAATGATCGACGCAGACGTCAACAACTCTTTCAATTCGTCAAATGCTCCTTTACAATCTTTGTCAAACTCAAAGGATGTCTCGTTCTGCAACAGTTTGCATAAAGGTAGGGCTATTTTCGAGAAATCTTTGATAAAAACCTGCATGTCCAAGAAAAGAGCGGACTTCCCGCACATTAGTAGGATACGAAAGAGATTCTATATTATCAACTATGGCTTTATCAACCTCAATCCCACAAGATGAAATAACATGCCCCAAGACATTACCTTGATCAACCATAAAATGACATTTTTCAGAATTTAACACAAGATTACTCTCTATGCATGTTTTCAAAATAAGTGAAAGCTTATGTAAGCAGGTATCAAAAGAGTCACCATAAAATGTAAAATCATCCATGAAAACTTCAATCATATGCCAACATAATCAGAAAATATGCTAACAATACACCTTTGAAAGGTGTCCGGGGCATTACAGAGGCCAAACGACATGCGTCGATATGCAAAAGTGCCGAAGGGACATGTAAATGTCATCTTTTCCTGGTCTTCCAGAGCAATTGCAATTTGGAAATAACCTGAATAACCATCAAGGAAACAAAAATAAGAGCGACCGACTAACCTTTCTAGCATTTGGTCAATAAACGGTAAAGGGAAGTGATCTTTTCTTGTAACAGCATTCAACTTCCTATAATCTATACAAACTCGCCACCCATTTTGAATATGAGTGGGGACCAGTTCATCATTTTAGTTTCTGACAACTGTAATCCCTGTTTTCTTAGGAACCACTTGAGTTGGGCTAACCCATTTGCTGTTTGAAATCGGATAGATTATCCAAGCTCCAAGGAGTTTGAGGACCTCTTCCTTGACTACTTCCATCATGGGCGGGTTTAGCATTCTTTGCGGTTGACGGGATGGTTCTGCTCCTTGCTCTAGAAGAATTTGGTGCATGCAAGTGGATGGACTTATCCTTTTGATGTCTGCAATTGTCCACCCAATGGCAGTTTTGTGTTCTTTTAGCACGGACAAGTTTTTCCTCTTCTATTGCAGAAAGTTTAGTTGAAATTATGACTGGAAATGTTTTATTTTCTCCTAAGAAAGCATATTTAAGGTGTTTGGGAAGAGGTTTCAACTCAGGACAGATGGTAACAACTTTATGATAGAGACATGTAAAACCATATAAGAAACATTATTTTGCTAGTGCAATTTAGGACAATGATTCAATGAAGCAATAACTTCATGTAAATTGTCACTCAGAGCAAACTCATTATTTCCTTTTTCAAGGTGTTCACAAATAACAACTTCTAACTTATCTTCACAATTAAATTCAAAAACTTCTTCAACCAATGAATCAATAATATCAACAGAATAATAAGAGTTATCACCCCCAGAGTATTTCATATCATCATAAATATTGAATGTAACAACATTACCATTAAATTCCATAGTAAGTGTACCACTGTGAATATCAAATTTTGTTTTTTACAGTTTTTAAAAATGGTCTTCCTAACAGAATAGGTGCAGAATGATCATTATTTTCCATATCTAGCACATAGAAATCAGTAGGAAAGATTAAATTATTAACTTGCAACAATACATCTTCAATTACACCCCTGGATATGCATTAGACCTATAAGCCAACTGGATAACTACACTAGTTTCATTCAAAGGTCCAAGTTTTAAAGAAGCATACACAGAATATGGCATAACATTAATAGATGCTCCTAAGTCTAGCATGGCTTTCTCAAGTTTAGTATCGCCTATCATACAAGGAATAGTAAACATACACGGATCCTTGCATTTTTCAGGAAGCTTGCTTTGAATCACCGCAAAAACATTCTTACCCATTAGCACTTTCTCACCTTTTTTTTAAAAATTTTTTACTTTTGTTTCCTTTTTTGTTGTACACAACTCCTTTAAGAATTTAGCAGATATAGGAACTTATTTTATTGCATCGAGTAATGGGATATTCACTTCACAATTTTTGAAAGTTTCATATAACTCTTCATCTTTCGTTCCTTTTATAGATTCTGACAAAGCTTGAGGGGATGGGGGAACTGGTTCATAATTAGAAAGATTGAGAGACTTACCTTGAGAATTTTCATTGTTGCTAGTTCCCTCTTTTTCTTGGTTCACTGACGGGGTAGTAATCGTAGGACCTTCAATTTCCTTACCACTTCTCAACACAATTGCACTTGCATTTTCTCTCGGATTAACCACCGTTTGAGAGGGTAGTTTTCCAGAACTCTGTGCTTCCAAACGACTTGCCGTAGTTGCTAGTTGACCCATCTGTCTTTCCAAGTTCTGAATACTAGCCTTTGTTTCTTGAATACTAGCTCTTGTTTCTTGTTGGAATTATTGTGTTTCTTGCTGAAACTGCAAAGTTTTAGTAGCAAGAGATTTAACAATATCTTCAAGGTTCATACTTGAGCTAGAGCTTTGGACTGGTTGTTGTTTGGAAGGAAATGGTTGTCTATACTGCTGAAAATTGGGACGGTTCTGAATAATCTGGTTCCCTTGTGAGTTTCCATAGCTAAGGTTCGGGTGATCCCTGCATCCAGGATTATATTTATTAGAAAACGGATCATACTTACCTTGAGGTTGTCCTGGAAAACCTCCCGCCATGTTAACTTGTTCAATAGGTTCTTCTTGAAGAGTTGGGCAGGCATCAGTTTGGTGTCCAATTACCAAACAGATTCCACATGCATTTACAGATTTCATATTGCCTACAGCTAATTGATGAATAAGAGTAGTTAAACCAGAAATTTGTTGTTCAAGAGCAGAAATATTTACCTCATTCACTTGTTTAGACGGTTGGACAAATCTATTGCCAAACTGTTGAGAATTTGCAGTCATATTTGCAATTAGAGTTCTTGCAGCGTCTGGTGTCTTATCAACTAAAGCACCACCGCTTGCGGCATCAATCGTGCTCCTATCAGTCGGAAAAAGTCCTTCATAAAAGTATTGAATGAGTAATTAATCATTGATTTGATGGTGTGGGCAGCTTGCACAAAGCTTTTTGAAACGCTCCCAATATTCATACAATGACTCTCCTTTGTTTTGCCTTATACCACAGATTTCCTTTCTAATGTTGGCCACCCTTGAAGCTGGGAAATATTTTTCAAGAAATACTGTCTTCAAGTCATTCCATGTAGTGATGCTCCCAGAAGGTAGATAGTATAGCCTGTCCTTCGCTGAATCTTTCAACGAAAAGAGAAAGGCTCTCAACTTGATTTGTTCTTCAGTAACCCCTGTGGGTTTCATACTTGAACACACCACACGGAATTCCTTTAAGTCTTTGTGCGGATCTTCACCTGCAAGTCCATGAAAAGAAGGCAAAAGATGAATTAATCCAGATTTTAATTCAAATTGTATATTAGCATCTAGAGCGGGAAAAGTGATGCATAAAGGTTTTTGATCCAAATTTGGAGATCCAAGCTCTTCTAAGGTCCGATTTTGAGCCATGGGTTCTTCTTCTAAATCATAATTGGTGGAAGATTGGGGATCCGTAGCCAGATCACTACTCTCCACTTTCCTCAAAGCTTGTTTCCTCCACCTGCGTATAGTTCTTTCAATTTCTGGATCGTACGACAAGATTTCTTGTTTAGCAGATCGAGTTATAGGCATAAACTACGAAAGATATTGCAGTAATTATGTAAAGGTAATGAAAGAAAAGAAAAAAAATTCTTTTTCTTGGGACAAATGAATGAGAAAAGAAAAAAAGTAAATAAATAAATAAACACAAAATAAACA